GTGTGTGTGTGTGTGTGTGTGTGTGTGTGTGTGTGTGTGTGTGTGTGTGTGTGCGTGTGTGTGTGTTTTGAATTTCACCACAACAGCCCCTATTCCACCCAGATGAGCAGATCCAAAATCAAAGCATATTCAATCCTATTACAGACAACGAAAGCCCGCGAGTACCTAACGAGCAACATGTGCGTAAGCAAGGAAGGAATAGTGGGGAGCAACTGCAACTGCAGAACCCACCAGACGGCCGAGAGAACGCATTCGGAGGCCTCTTGTGTGCATGAAGTCTGTCAGTGTCCGCCCATCAACAGGAGAGAGCTCCAAAGAGCCGAAATCAGCAACCTGCCAAATGGGAAAGCAATCGAATTAATTAATGGGTCAGATTCTGTCTGTCTGTCAGTCTTCTCGATATCTTTGTTCTTTTTTGAAGTTTTTTCCCCTTTCCCAAAACAACAGCAGATGTGCACCAGCATTTAAAATCCGAAGTTGGTAACACATGCACATCCACAGTGCACACACAGATCTGCGATCACTCCTGCATCTCGTATCAGCCTTTCACAGAGTCCATTGCTACACAAATACCAAAATCCAAACAAAACTTACAAAAGACAATTAACGTTCATCACTCAAGGCTTCAGAGTATGCAACAAGAATAATTAATGGATCAAAATAGAATGTTATTGTGTTTATTCCCACCCAAAGCTGAACCGTGAGATTACTAACGATCTCACTACTTAGATCCTTTCGGGTGTAATTGGCAAATTTGGCGTGTGGCAAAAATCCGCATTGTTGGGAAAAAGAGAGGCTAAGAAGCACTCGTGGGTCTGAGAGAGACGGTTAAACCACTGTACACGCCAGTCATAGACCAGCCACGGGCCCCCTTTCGGAGGCCGAAACGCGACAAGGCCGCCATCGGAATTTTTTTATCAACAGTGGCCCGGGCCAAACTTTTTTGGATGGGCGACGGGTTTCTTTTCAGCAAGGCTGGGGCCATGTACTGGTGGTGTAACGGAGGGCTTGTGCTGCAATTTATTTTGAAACCCAAGGGCCCTTTTAACCAAGATTGCCATCAATTTATAGAGTGCACCCCATATTTCACCCCCGAAGTTAACTAATTTCAGTTTTGGCCCTTTTGGGTTCTATGTTACCCAAGAGCTGAAAACTGGGAGTGCACGATAACCGCTTGTGTGGGTTCGTACATCATGACTTGACATCCTTTTTTTTTTTTTTTTTTCATGACTTGACATCCTGATGGAATCAGATGGTGTAGTCAAATAGTTGAAGAACAAAAACATATATTTCAAGAAGGCCAGGGACTGTCCGCTTTAAGATAACATGAAATTAGAAAAAAAAGAAAAAAAAAAAGAAGGCGGAAATGTGCCCTGTCAGCAAGTTTGGTTAACTTCAATTCAAAACATTTCAGCGGCTTCTCTCCGAGCCAAAAAACACAGACACGCATCGCGATTAGGGAGCCCGGGTGGGATGACGGTTTTAGGGAGGGGTAAGAAACGAAAATGATACGATGATGCACACACAGAAAAAGCAGGTACAGCACATCATGCTCCGCTCAGTCATTGACAACGAGATTGCTCAGTATTAGTAATTAGTAATTTTACTAATTTCATTATTTCAATAAATTTTATGCAGCTGCAGCGCTACCAATGTGTACAAACTAAGACTGACCTGGTACATACTCCAAGTGGGAATGGGCTGTGACCCCCACCATTATCTGTAATGCCCTGTTTTCCTTAAGTATGTTCCTTCCTGAATTTTACAGAACTGGCTGCTGTGGCCAGGAAGACAGTTTAGCCTTCACCTTCAACAGCTGTGTGTGTGAGTGTAGTGGCCTTAGACACACTGCTGCTACTCCATACGGGGTGGGGGACGCTGAAAAAGGGTCCGCGCGGCTACTGGCAAAATGCTTGTCTTTGAGTTAGCCGGACCACCACTGGCAGCCCCAACCCTGCACCCTAACCACTCGCCTAAGGGCAAAAGGGGCAGCACCCACCACAACTTTTTTCCTTCCTTCCCTTCACTTTGAAGGAGGACCCCCTTTGAAGAACAACCCCCTTCAAGTTTTTCTTTTTGTTACTTTTCCTACATGATTTTATGGTGGACGTTCCCTACGAAATGGGAGCGTGAGAGTCAACGTACAGAAGCAGTCAGGTTCTGAAGCGTAGGGCATTCAGGACAAGACCACGGAGAAACGTAATTCAGCAGATCACTGATACGAAAAAAATTCAAAAAACTTTAAAAAAGACAGGATGCAGGCGGCACCAGCAATGCTTACCAGTTTCGGGAGGGCTGTCTTCTCATAATACTCTCTAGCACCTTCCATAAGCTCCTCAATAGTCTGCAACAACGACAAGAGTGTGAATTGAGACTGCTACTGTAACAGTGACCTAAGGAACTGTTTTCTCGATGTATGTGTGGCATCCTTGTGCAGGGGCCGTGCTAATCTTCTCTGTATCATTCCAGACTTAACAGATGTCCCCAAGGACACTTAGAGGCTGTTTTTTTTTTTTTTTTTTTAAATACTTCCTCTCTCTCCCCCTCCTGTCCCCCCCTAGGAGCTGTCTTCTTTTCATTCAACGTCAATGTGAAAGTTCAGCGAAGCAGACTGTTCTCTCGACCATAACAGGGAGAAGTGCTGAGTGAGTAATCTGATGTACCCGGCTTCCCACTCATAATACAAATTCCGTCGTAAGAAAAAATATACATTAAAAAAAAAAAAAGTTCAGCTTTTGACAGCACTCTGACGAACCTCGTCCATGGGCGAGGACCAGGTTTCACGCTAAGTTCACCTCACAGCCTCACAGTACCCGCTATCAGGATCAACTGGCGAGAACAAGCACCCATCTAAAATCCATGATTTGTTGGCCGATCAGCCCTCTGTTCAGTGTTCAAAGCGGCAATGACCTGCTGTGGTCCCCCTGAACATAACCCACCCTGATAATGAATGCACATACAAAATATCTTTCTGGTACAATTCAGCCAAAATGAGGGTACGTTGTGTTCGGGGGAAGACGGTAGCAACCCTGCAAGGCGGCAATGCATGTGTTTAATAGGCGGTGTCATTTTCACCAAAATTTTCACCGAAACTTCCATATTGCCTTGATTTTTTTCTTTTTTTGATTTTTGATTTTTTTTATTTTTTGTTTGATATGTATGTGCTTTAGGGTATAATAATAATATCGGGGCACCAGCAGTTTAGTATGCGGGCAGCAGCGTTTTAGTATGCCAGCAGCAGCAGTTTAGTATGCGCAAAAAAGTTGAAAAAACGGAAAAACTGTCATTTTCTGAACTCAGACCCTCTGCACACCACTGCCCGCCCCTGTAGTCATGACATCCTCGCTTATTAGAAACTGCTACACCTCTTTTATTTCCTTTTCGGACCTGGCGCATGAGTGACCTACAGGTACACGTTTTTTTTGTGCCTTTTTTCTCTTTTTTTTTTTTCTTCGGGAAAAAGTTGAGAATCCCATTATAAGAAACTTCCACCAGAGGCCAGGAAGCCTCACAAACAACCCGGTGTTTTTTTTGCCTATTCAGAACTCGTGTCTGGCTACAGGCGTGGTTAGCTGAACTTAGCTCAAATAAAGGCAAACGGCTCACATCTACTTGCTTACACACCTCTATACTTCAGTGAACACCATCTTTCCTACTATGTCCGATGCACGTTTTTTTTTTTTGGTTGTGTTGGGAGGGGCCGGGGGCGGGGGGAGGTGATAGCCTAGAAAACGTGACAGCTTTGCTATTGCCAAGACAACATAAGATCATTTGGTGTCCGCTGCACCTGGATTGCCCCCAACCAGATGATGAAGGCCAAAGCCAAAGGACACCAAACCAGGATTGCCCCCAACCAGGTGTTTATGGGTCCATCAGCACAGTCAACTGTTCAAATCATCATTATTTAATTTAGAGGTAGAGGTCCAACAACATGGTCACCAAATTTGAAGCCTCCAGACTCGCCACCACCCCAGGTATAGACTCTTGGAATTATGATGACAACAGCCCAGCCCAGTGGCACTCGCTAACAGACGAAATGGGAGCAAAAAGGTACGATCAAGAAGAGCAGGAAAAAAAAAAAAAAAAAAAAAGCCAAGGAAAATAAAGTTTCACGGTTTCACCCCCCCCAAAAAAAAGAGTGCAAGAGCCAGGTCAAGGCGGACCTGGAGCTTAGAAGGGTTAAGCTACGTAATAATGTTAAGAAGAAAAGGAATTAGAAAGGCATGAGAAAAAACTTGAAAAAGAAAAGGCCACTGACCTTTTTATGCAATCCCGTTCCCGATTCCTTCAGTCGTTCAAAAGCAGCAGCATCGAGCTGGAGACGATCCCGAAGCTGAGACTCGTCAATTTCATTCTCATCCTGAGCATCTCGGGCCTCTTCTGCTTCCTCTCTTTCTTCCTTCTCCTTCGACTTTTCGACTTCCTCCCCACCTCCGTGCGCAGTATCTCCTTCCTGTGCTTTGTCTGTGATCACAGCCGTTGTCCCATTTGCCGGCGCTTTTTCCCCTTCATTTCTGGCTGCAGCTGTCGTCTGCTGCTGCTGCGTCACCCTGCTTCCTCCTCCTCCTCCTCCTCCTCCTCCTCCTCCCTTTCCGTCATCACTGCTCTCCCCACCATCACTATTTGCGCCACCCTCCTCCCCTTTCTTTGTTGCTGGTGATGGCGGATTCTGCAGATGTTGCAACCAGCACGCTCCCAATTCCCACCTGACAAAATAATAAAAATATTGAATACAAAGATCCCAGTTCGACACCAACACAAACACATGCACACATGTCCATGCGATAAGAAGAGGGCAGGAAAGTAGTGGGGCCTGGCCTAGCCTAGCCTAGCCCAGTCGATACACCCATGAAATGTTAAAACACAGACCTGAGTTCCAATCCTGATGAGACTCAACGACTCGGGAAAAAAAAAAAAAAAAAAAAAAAAAAAAAAAAAAAAAAAAAAAAAAAAAACGAGCAGCAGCAGAAGCATCTGCAACAAGGTTACATAACTTACATTACATCTTTTTGCCAGCTCCAAAGGATGTGATCAGTCCACATCCAAATGGTGTCAATCTCTGGTATTTGTTCGGTTATCTAGATAATAATTACAAGCATTTTTTCGATTTTTTTAGCAATGCACTAGTATTTATTAATTATTATGCACCTAGTGTAAATAAAAAAAAAAAAAAGCTTTCTAGAGAGTAGAACATATTACGATTTTGTCCTTCCGGACATCTGTTAAAATTGGAATGATACAGAGAGAGATGAAACCACAAACAAGATGGCCCCTGCACACGGAATGACACGCATAAAAAAAGGAGGCTGGCTACTTCGGTATATGAAACCACAACCAAGATAAAAAGGAGGCTGGCTACTTCAAGTTATCCAAAGAGCCTTGCGTGAACAGAGTCACAATGAACAGTGAAAAATATTATAATACAGAACACATGCTTCAAATGCACTGTGCTCTTTGGCAAAGACAAATAACATTCACCACCCCTAACTATGTGCAGCCAAACTCCTCAGCATTCAAAACCCATTGGACAGCACAACAGCCGACAATTGCTCGAATTTTTTGTTTTGCTTTGAAGAGTCAAAGATGGCAGACAATCGTCTTCGCCCGAATAGAATGTACAGTCATTATGTGGGTGCATCAAGACTGAAAGATGGACCATATGCGGCTACAATGACCGTATGTTCTATTTTGTTTTCTTGCATTAAAGAGTCAAAGATGGCAGACAACCGTCTTCGCACGAATAGGACGTACAGTCATTATGTGGGTGCATCAAGACTGAAAGATGGACATTATGCAGTTACAATGACTGTACGTTCTAATTTTTCGGGGGAAGACGCTTATAAAGACAAACCCAACTTTTAAGTTAAAGAAAGAATCACCTAGTACCTCATGAATGGATCATTTTCCTCTTCCCCCTCTTTCAAGAGCCACTCTCGATTCTCTGCAAAGATGTCTCTCATAACCAAGCCTGCTTCTTCGGCAAATTGACAGATATCAGATCTCGCCGCGGTCGTCGCTGTAAAGGTAGCTAGATTGCTGCTGCTGCCACAGCTGGGCATCAGAGCACTGCCGCTGCTAACGTTTCCTGACTGAGAGGCAGCCTTGTGAAGCAATAATCGCAAGCTGCCATATCAAACATCCAACACATAAAAAGAGAGAGAAAAAAAGAAAGTGAAAAAAAAAAAAAAAAAAACATATCAGTTCTCCAATCAAACGATAACAAGCACAGTGAAAAACGGTGGAGACGGGTTGCAGAAATACTATGAATGGAGTTTCCAACTTTCCAACTTTCCACGGCCATCTTCCCTTTTTCCCAAACGAAGGGGCGGTAAGCGCCCCCGTCCTGCGGGTCATCCATTAAAATTGGACCGATATAGAGAAGATTAGCATGTCCCCTGCGCAAGAATGACGTGCATAAATCGAGAAATGGTCCAACAACAACAACAACAACCAAAAAAAAGAAGAAGAAGTGGTAAGCCCTTAAAGCCCCTATCCGTCTCATTCTGACGGAATCTGACCGAGTCCTGATTTGAACCCATGACCTGTTTATCAACAGTCACATTTGAGACTTTTTACTAAGTTTTTAGTCTGTTTTAGACTTTTAGTATAATTCAGCCAGTGGCACATGGACTGGGTACTTTCCTCGAATACCAGTTCTCTCTCCTTATCAAATAGGAAAACCAAGCTCAGTGAAAGAAAGACAGTGAAGGTCTTTGATGCAGAAACACTGAAACCTTGACTATTCTTTCTTAGACTAGACCCTAAACCATTAAATTTACTACGAGAACGTCATATGGCGAAGTTCAACCGAGCACTGTGACAGTGAAAAAGAGTGCAAAATTGCAAATCTCTTCCAGTAAATACCAAATCACAACCCTTCTAAACACGAAACCGTAAAGTTGAAGAGAAGGTCAAATAGGCCTATGGCATCACATCACAAATATTAACATATTAATTTTACTGACGTTTGGTCGATTTCTATTGACCCCACCAAGGGCGCCAAGTACCTTTTTCCCCGTTCGGAAAATAAATACGCGGCTTGTATACCGCCACGACTTCCGGGGTCGGGCCGCAGTTGATAAATTTCATCATCGGCCCGTGTTGCGTTTCGCGCCCCTCTGAAAGTCGCGGTGAGGGGCCCGCAGGCGATACATGCAAAAGGTTTTTGGTGGTCTAACGTTTCCTGTCTGACTCGGTGAAGTCGCTTGCAGTCACCAGGATCAAATGCAACACGGACCTCCATACGATGCTTTGTCCGTAAAGAGGCCCTGGTTCAATTGACAGATTTGGACCTTCCGTCTACTTGCTTGCGCTCTTCTCCAAGTGGATGGGTGGGTGTTCACTTGGGACTTTTCCTAGTAGTAAGGGAAACCACAGTCAATATTTCTGACTCAGGGTCAACATTTTGCATCCAATTCACATGTTAAAGAAAGCACTCGCAAATCTGGCTACCATGTTCCCCAAAACACAATGCAGCTTCATCATGGATGTTTACTGGTGGTCTTTCCAGTCCACTAGAGTCATGATGAGGACACGTTGTGTTCAGGGGAAGATGGTAGTTCCCGCAACTTCCTCATTAGTTTCATGAACTTCAAGCAGCAGTTTTCATGTTTAGTGAAACTTGAGAGGAATTGGCGAACGCAAGTGTCACGTCAAATGCATAGAAGATTAGAATCACCCTCCACATAGAAAACACACGAATCAAGAGAAGATGGTGGATGATCTACAACACTCTTTTTTCTATGACATCTACAACAATATTTTTTATATGACACGTTCTTAGATTGCACATCACGCCTCATGCTATGTTATCCTCCAAAACCCCTTCGGAATTTGCTGGGTCCAGGGGGGGGGGGAGAGAGAGAGAGAGAGAGAGAGAGAGAGAGAGAGAGAGAGAGAGAGAGAGAGAGAGAGAGAGAGAGNGAGAGAGAGAGAGAGAGAGAGAGAGAGAGAGAGCTGTACATATATTGTTACATATCTATCAACTAGATGACCATACTTTGCAAAACAAACATATAAAGGAAAAGAAAAAAGGAAGACAGCATAACGCACACTGAAACAATTCCTAGCAGTCTCTTCATCACCATCAGTCGTACTAGTAAGAGCGGTCTCTTTTTTTCCATTTTCGTGACGGAAAACTTGGAAAAGGGAAACAGGAGCTCACCTGTTCACATTCAGTGCATTGGCCCCTCCATCTGGTTGTGCATCAATGATTACCTCCTCGACCCTCTCGGAATGGGAAGGACTTGAATGCGGTGAAGTGGGCTCCGCACCATTGCTCGTTGCCGCTGGATCAGATCCTGATGCCAACGCCGAATCTCGCTGGCCATTCTCCGGGCGTTCATCGTCCACCGCTCTTACCCGCGCACAGAGACCTCGCTGTCGAACGGTTACTGTCGCCAGCGTTGCAGTGTCCTGTACGCCAAGACAAGAACACAGCCGATTCATATACTATCAACTGCTTGCAGGGCCAAGTGAACAACTTCAACAAAGATAGACTAATTTTCTCCTTTTTTTTAAAGGAAGGCCTGCTGTAAAACCCATGTAAACTCCACTGATAGCAATTGCAGTTTACTATAGAAAATGTATTACATCTGCCCACGATGGGTGCCATTGTGCACAAGTAAGGTTGCACAAGCTTGCGCTTCGCATGTGCCCGCCCCCCCTGCACATGGTTCTATTTATTCGTTCATATTTGCTTTTTTTCACCCTGAAACCACCACTACCTTTCCAAGCTGTAGTCCCATTTGGGAAAATGGCCTCATCTGAAAAGTCCGTGGGGTCCGGCGTAGGGTCAGCAGAAAAGAGAAAGGAAAAAAAAGATTGGGACCTGTGAGCCCGTGAGAAAAAGAATAAGAACAGCGGCGTGGGGAAAGGCCCTCACGGAGGTGGAAGCAACACCAGAGCTTTGAGGAAATTCTGGCCAGTATTTATGCAAGGTGATTGCTGTTCCCGTTTCCTTTTCTTGCCCTGTCAGAGAGGCAGGGCGGATTCTACGCGGAGCAACTGCCTCACTCACGTTACACTCACACAAGTACTCGAGTGTCCTGTATCGGACCGTGATCACAGCATAAGTTCTTTTTTTTTTGGTTCTTCATTTGTTAATTTTGTTTTTATGGGACAGACGCCCTCACTGAGGGCACAGTCTCACCAGCACTGCATAGAATGTATCTGAAGGCTCTCATTGCGTTAGGAAGTTTTTTATTTTTTTCCCTTAGGAAGTTTTTTATTTTTTTCCCCTTCTTCCTCCTCTTTTTTCAATGTGACTGCCGTGAGTACCAGAAGAAGAAAAAAAAAAGGGACCCAGGCTCGGCAAAACTCGGTGCGCATTGCGCAGTGCAATTCAGGGTCGGTAAAAACAGGATCGGAGGCAGAGGTTTGTTTATTGAGGAAAAGTAGCACGACAGCAGTGGCTTTGAAACACAGATCAGTAGCAGCAATCAAATCTTCTAATTGAAAACGAATCAGAGTCATGTCCTATAGGCCAGAACTAGAAACCATTTGGGAACAGATACGCCAAAGCGTCTTCACGAAGACCATCACCAGGATCCAAATAGGGAGGGCCTCAGGGCCCAGTAAATAGTTTGTTTGATCGAGCAGACCTTATCCTTGTAAAATATACCAATTCGACTTATAAGGAGGAAGGAAATTATGTCACCACAGACAGAAACTAAAACAAGTGCTGGATTTAAAGCAGGGGTATGTATCACAGATCGACAGAGTTCGGACCACCGTCACAGGCCTTTAAGGAACCAATCACAGAACTAATCACGAGAAGCTGGGAGAATAGAGGCGGCAAAGAGCGTCACAATACCAGACATTGCAGACAACGAACTGCCATGGAATCAAACTACGCAAACACCACCAAAAAAACGAGGACAGGCAGCCTACTGCCAATATGATTATGTTGTATGCGGCGCCAGTGCCGCAGCACCCATAGACGAATGGCTCAAGCATATGAGGAAGAAAGAAGACAGGACAGATCAAACTCATTGAACATAGTTTGATTTTGTTTTTGTTTAGGTAGCTCAGTTGGTTAGAGCAAAAGACTGAAAATCCTTGTGTCAGTCCGATCGGTGAAAAGGAGGTCATGCATCCAAAAGAAGGTAAAAAAAACGTCGACCCACTATCTACCTGCCTAGCTCAGGTGGTACACCCGTGAGCTGTTGTCAGTTGAAACTCAAAATGGTTTCTTTCTTTCTTTCTTTCTTTTTTTTTTTTTTTTTAATGTATGAGCAAGAGACGAAAATAAGGGCACCTCTGGACAAAGAAAGGCGACATAAGGGGACACATCTGCAATGGTACGTTATGTGATGATTGGCTAGGCTCAGTAGAAAGTGAAAGAATTGCATTCAAGTATTGGATCGCTATGCACAGCAACAATTACTCATGCACTAGAAAATTCAGAACTCGGGGGGGGGGGTGGGGGGACGGGGGGGGGGGGGGGGGAGAGCTGGAGGGACAATGTAGGACGATGCGAGAGGATTCATAGCAAAGATCAGCCCCTACGCAGATTCAGTCTGAACAGGTAGGTGGAAGTAAAACTAGACGGGGCATATGATGGTAGGCTCCACATTTCAGAACCATAACCGCATATGGTAGCCGCAGTTATCTGGCATGCAAAGATTGATTGGTTAATTCAACTTAATTAAAAAAGGCTGAAAAAGGAATTATACTGTGCACAAGCGCGAGCCATTGAATTTCGGAAAATTGTGCATGTACGGCATGCAAGCACGGACCCACAAAGCTCAGCGAACGGCATGAGCAGGGCGCAGGGGAAATGTTCACCCAGAAAGGGAAAGGGTTGCAGGCCTGGGTCAATGGTCACCTGCGCCCCCCAGCCTCTGAAAATTTGTTCTGGGATGATTAAAAAAAAAAAAAAAAAAAAAAAAAAAAAGCAACTACATTGAGAGAGTAATCTCGCTACCTAAAGATCAAGACTGATTTCCCAGAAGCACTTAATCAATGCTATTTCTGATGCACATCTGGACGAAAAGAAAAATATGTACGACTGCGCTGGATCTGTTCCTTAGGTGGTGCACTCTTCTGTAGTACCTATGAAAAAGAGCAAAGTTGAGCAAACAAAACACAGAAAGAGGGAAACTGCTTGTGGTACAGCGTGCCGAACGGCGTGTGGCGCACCACGGTTGCAAGTATGGGAAAAAGGCACGTTCAAAAACGGTTCAATAGCCAACTCCCAGTCCCCAGTAACAGCACTACCGGTAGGGATTATGCACAGGTCAGGCAGTCACTGCCAGCCAGGTCCCTCCTCTCCCAACCTGATATGGCTGAGAGGAGATAAACAGATGACAGCATGTTCCCGTGAGTTCGTTTTGAGGGCAGTAGTAATCAAAAGCAGAACAAGGGCAGAACGGCGGTAAATCTTTCCTTCCTTGGAATCAATCAATGTCACTGACTGAGTCTGACTCAGGTTCTCTCGGAAGCATGGAGCTAGTAAAGCCTCTAAGGGACACAGGACTCAGTCTCCAGCAAAAGATAAAAATTGCTTCCAAGGGGAGAGGGAGGGGGGGGGGGGGGGGTCGGAGGGGATTGGAGCCGGAAAAAAAAGAAAAAAGAAAAAAAGAAGCAGAGCTAATTCAGGTTGCAATTCTGCTTGTGACGACGAGAAAGGACTTACGTGTACTGCTGTGCTCTCATCTGCTGTCAGGCCCTTGAGCAAATTGTGCTCTGCAAGCTCTGCCCGAGTCAGCTTTCCCTCATTCTTCTCAAGAGGTACAACACTGACAGCATAAGGTCTCGGGCCGTGTGCGTGAATCGCATCTCTCTCCACCTCAATCAGAAAGTTGTCGGCTTCGACAGTGGAAAGCAGTTGTGGGGCTGCTGCTGACGAAGCGCCATCTGACACTGCCGTTGCAGACTCCATGTCAGAGGGCACGGCTGGCGACTTCTCCTGTGAATCTAGCCTTGCAGCTGCTTCGTTGATCGCTGAAACTCCCCGTCGAATGGCCATGTCAACAAAAAGACTAAGCAGTTCAACCCATACAGCACGCACAAACAGATGAAGGAGAAATACGAGGGAGGGAGGATGAGAGATTGACCAGGCATCATAGCACAGCGCAGACTGGCAACGCACTCTGTGGCGATTATCAGTAGGCTTCTTTTTCTCTTTCTTGAAGTTCCTTCAGTACTAAGGCATATTTTGCCCATTTAAGGACCCTAATTATCAAGAAAAACACGCTGGAGTTGCGGCTCGGGAAATTCCAAAAAAAATGCCGCAAAGGCAATCATGATGGTAACAAGTCTATACAGTACAGCGAAACGAGCAGGCAGACCAACAACAACGGAAGAAAACCAGAAATAGCAATAAGTTGATAACCCTTTTCCGTTTTCATTATGAAAATGCGTTAATATCAGGCTTATCAGCTTGCATACATCGTATGTGGAAAAAAAAAGGAAAAAAAAAAGGCAGACGTCATGGTCGTAGCAATGACATCAGCAACCAACTGACCTAACTCACTGACCTAACTCAGTTGGTAATACACCCCTGATTAGAACTGTAACTGTTGAAGTACAGACCTGAGTTCAAAGTCCAGCGGACGCAGATGCATGGAATAGTAAAAAAATACTACAATTCAACAATTGTGAATTACCTACGGCAGGTCAGATCGATGATGATATCTCAAGGCCGCCGCCCTTTCAAGGAAGAAAAATGGGGGGGGGAAAGGGGAGGGAAAAAAAAAGATAGTAAACAGATACTCTTTGAAAAATATTTCAATAAGAAGAAATGAATTCAATAGCAGCAAGCATAGAAATTTAAAGCTGATAGAGAACACTTGCTGAACACAGTATGTACCTGCCCCAAGAAGTGTAGAAATGACATCAGCTTGACCAGTTCCTTAGCACAATACAGCAAAATAATTTAATGCAGATTGGATAAGGCACCAAAGTATCTGCACGCCGGCTACACCATCTGGTTCAATGTTTATCGGTGAACATATTTTAGAAAGTAGGACACATATAGAACAATTAATATGAAGACTACGACTTCCACATTGAATGTCCAGCGTTTACAGATGTGTAAATCACCCCCTCAACCCCCCCCCCCGCCCCCCCCCCTTCTTCTCCTTCCCTCACACACTCCTCCCGAATCAAAGGAGTTTCAGCAATCATCATCAGAATGTCAAGTCCTCATAAACCCAGGTGAAACATAGCAACACTTTTTTTTCTTCCCCAGAAACTAATATACTATTATGTTCAGCTAGGGCACAACCTGCTACCGTCTTCACCCGAATAGAACGCCCGGTCATTATTGCTGCATCTGGACTGAAAGTTGGGCCAAATGCAGCTATAATGACCGGGCGTTCTATTCGTGTAAGACGGTAGTAAGGAAAAGACAACTGATTACGGAAATAATAAGACAGAGGTGTGAAAGTGAGAAGGCAGGTAACATCTCACGATAACACACACTGTCAGACTGCTTTGGGATCAGATTAGATTAAAGAAGACAATCTCGACCTTGCAAAGTCGCTCTCTCTCTCAGTTTGTCAATCGGATATCACTAGACGTAGGTGCGGATGCGAAGTGTGTCAGGACAGCATGTTGCAGAAGGAAATCCATGTTCTGTATGTACCTGTGAAGAAGAAACGCCTTCCGGTCTCGGATAAGCCTTTCCTCCTGCGTCTTGCAGGCCATTCGGGCCAAGATCCTGAATTCTCTCATCCATGGCCGAACTTCCTTTTGTCTATCCTTCTCTTTCCCTTGCCCTCCGCCATCGCCTCCCCAAAGCTCGTCTTCCACAGGCAGAGGCGGAAACGCCGCTGGTTGAGCCGCAGCAGGCGGCGGCACCACCCACGTATTGGACCGGAACCCAGCAGGTATGTTCGCAAACTGAACCACAAGGGCCAAACAGAACCCACAAGGCCACAAAGAGCAACGACGAGACCACCAGAACCCACCCACCAACACAACAACCCACAGACACAACGCTCAGCCACGGAGAAGTCCCGAGTCCACCAACAAGAACGAACACCAAACATTAAACGACAAGTACAGGGCCTCAGCCTTGCAGTCCGAAGCTGTCGCCACAAGAAAACGAGGCCGAAACGTCAAACGCTGGCCCGCCGTTGACAAATTTGATCGGCGGTGGTGTTCGTGTTTCGCGTCTCCAGAATTTGAGGTGTCAGGCCCGCAGCCCAGGTGCCCATGTACTGGTGCTTTTAAGCCCAGCTACAAACTCGACTCCTAAGCGGAGCTCAATCCCCACCACCTTGATCCATATCCTTAAATCTACAGCCAGATGTCAGACCAAATATCTAGCACAGGACCACGCTCAGGAGTCAGGACCATGAACACGATAACCAGGTTACTAAGAACTCTCACAGAACAGATACAGTAAAAACTGCCCAAAGCTAACTCCAAGCTAACCCCAAACCTAAACCCCGGCCACAACAAACCCACACCAACCCATTATGCTGAAGCAGCCAAACCCACTCCCTAACCACAGAACCCAAAACAAAGAAACCATGAATGGTAATGTGTCTGACAACTCTGTTAAAACAATGCCTCACTGTTTCTCCAGAGTCCAGACAACCTATGAAGTAGTATGAACACGACGGTCAATAATTATTAATTGAAGTCCAGTTCGATTTCAAATTTCAAATCAAATTACACCCTCTTCTTTTTTGTCCCATTAACGTGAAATTGAACGGAATTTTCTATATGTCAGATCAAAATGAGGAGAGGCGAATCTTCACAACCCCTCCTTTTCCCCTTTTTTTAAGTATTTTCCCTTTTTCAGCCCACTGCAGGTCCTTTTCCACTCACAAGTCAGATTCTGCGACGTTACTGTAACAGTGTATGCTACACGCTTCCCCTCGCTTCCCCTCGTGACGGCCATGTGAACCACAGAGAGAATTCCGTGATCCCACGAGCCAAATTAACTATCTGTCTGGCGACGGGAGCCACGAACGGAACTCGTTAGTCTCACGAGTCTTATGAACCATCCGTTTGGTCCACATCTCCTTGTCCTGTACGGTATCAGTACCGCGTTTGGCCCAGGTCTGCTCGTTCAGTACCCCAACGGACTGCAGGATTCCGAGGACGAGGGGTGACACCAGTGCAGTTTCCTAAAGAAGTTCATCACCTCTACGGTTCTAGATCTGTGTAGGGCCTGTACGCAGGGGGGGACCACTGGACCCTCCAAGAGTTATTCTCAACAGCTCCTCTAAGCCAGTAGTTCCCATCACCCAAGCCCCTCCAAAAGGTACCTTTCGCATGGCTGATGAGAGCCATTGAAAAAGGCTTCTGGGACCTCGCCAGCATGGCACCTATATTGTGTTCCTTCATATATTTACAAGTGCCTGTTATTCTGAGCATACTCCGAGCTTTATGGCTTTCATCTTGTGCTCTCTCTCTCTCTCTCTCTCTCTCTCTCTCTCTCTCTCTCTCTCTCTCTCTCTCTCTCTCTCT